CACCACCATCACCACCACCACCATCACCATCACCACCATCATCACCATCACCATCACCACCACCACTACCACCACCATCACCACCACCACCCACCACCATCACCACCACCAACATCATCACCATCACCATCACCATCACCACCACCATCATAACCATCACCATCACCACCACCACCACTACCAACCCCCCCACCCCCACACACACACTTTTGTCTATTATTAACAGCCTGCATTACTATGATACATGTTACAATTAATGAATCAATATTCACATAATTATTAACTAAAGCCCATAGTTTACATGAAGGTTCACTCTTTGTATTAAAAGTTCTGTGGGTTTTGGCAAATGCATAATGTCATGTATCCAGCATTACAGTATTATACAGAATAGTTCCACTGCCCTAAAAATGCCCTCTGTTAATCCCTCCTCATCTTCCTCTAGTTCCCTGACTACCACTGATCCTTCTACAGTTTTATCTTTTCCAAAAGTTCATGTAGTTTGGTTTGGATCCCCATTCTGGCAAACTGCCAAAAAAAAATTACATAGTTTGAATCATGTAATATGTAGCTTTTTTTTCTTTCTTTCTTTCTTTCTTTTTTGTCTTTTTTACTGACCGGCAACGGGATCGCAACTCTCAGTGTTGCACCCGCACCACACTCAGCCAGTGAGCGGGAACCGGTCTCCACATGGGATCCGAACCCTCGGCAGGAGTGCCGCCACACTCCCAAGCAGCACACTCTCCAGTGCACCACCGGGCCAGCCCAGTATGTAGCTTTTTCAGACTAGCTTCTTTCACTAAGCAGCATGCATTTAAGGTTCCTCCATGTCTTTTCATGGCTTGACAGCTCATTTCTTTTTATCACTGAGTACTATTTTATTGTATGGATGTGCCACAGTTTGTTTTTTCATTCGCCTTTTGAAAGACATCTTGGTTGCTTCCAGTTTTGAGCTATTATGGATATAGATGCTGTAAATATCTGTCCAGAATAAATATCTTAAAACTCAACAATAAGAAAACAACCAACCCAATTTATAAGCAGGCAAAAGGTCTGAACAGATACCTCACCAAAGAAGATGTACAGATGGCAAATAAGCATGTGAAAAGATACTAAATGTCATATTTCACTAGAAAATTACAAATAAAACATGAAGTATATCTCCATTTTTCTTCTTTAGCCTGTTGANACTAAGCAGCATGCATTTAAGGTTCCTCCATGTCTTTTCATGGCTTGACAGCTCATTTCTTTTTATCACTGAGTACTATTTTATTGTATGGATGTGCCACAGTTTGTTTTTTCATTCGCCTTTTGAAAGACATCTTGGTTGCTTCCAGTTTTGAGCTATTATGGATATAGATGCTGTAAATATCTGTCCAGAATAAATATCTTAAAACTCAACAATAAGAAAACAACCAACCCAATTTATAAGCAGGCAAAAGGTCTGAACAGATACCTCACCAAAGAAGATGTACAGATGGCAAATAAGCATGTGAAAAGATACTAAATGTCATATTTCACTAGAAAATTACAAATAAAACATGAAGTATATCTCCATTTTTCTTCTTTAGCCTGTTGATGTGATGGATTACATTAATTAATTTTTGAATATTTAGCCAGTCTTGAATACATGGAATAAATCCCATTTGGTTGCGATCTATAATTCCTTTTATACATCGTTGGATTCGATTTGCTGATATCTTGTTGAGGACTTTGCATCTATGTTTATGAGAGATATTGCTTTGTAGTTTTCCTTTCTTGTAATGTCTTTATCTGGTTTTGGTATTAGGGTGATATTGGCATCCTGGAATGAGTTAGGAAGTATTTCCTCTGAAGAGATTGTAAGGAGCTGGCATCATTTTTTTCCTTAAATCTTTGTTAGAATTTACTAGTGAATTCTTCTGGACCTGGTGCTTTCTGTTTTGGAAGGTTATTAATTATTAATTCAAATTCTTTAATAGATATAGGCCCATTCAGATCATCTATCTCTCCTTGTACATGAGTTTCAGTATATTGTGTCTTTCAAGAAATTGGTCCAAATTTGTGGGTATAGAGTTGTTCATAATTTTCCTCTATTATGTCCATGGGATCTGTAGTGATGGCCTCATTTTCATGTCTGATTTTAATTGTTTGTATCTTCTCTCTTTTGTCTTTGTCAGCCTGCTAGAGGTTTCTCAATTTTTTCTTTCTATCTTTCCAAAGAACCAACTTTTGGTTTCTTTGATTTTCTCTAATGTTTTCCTGTTTTCAATTTCACTCATTTTTGCTAATTTTTGCTAATTTGTTCTTCTGCTCATGTTAGGTTTATATTTCTCTTTTGTTTCCTAAAATGGAATCTTTGATTATTGATTTTAGACCTTTCTTCTTTTCTTATGTATAGATTCAAAGCTATAAATTTCCCTTTAAGCACTGCTTTCATCCTACAAATTTTGATAAGTTGTATTTTCATTTTAATTTAGTTAACATAATTTTCAATTTCTCTTGCGACTTCTTCCTTGACCCATGTATTATTTAGAAGTATGTTGTTACCAGCCAGCCACACAAAAAAAAAAATGTTGTTTAATTTCCAGATGTTTGGGATCTTCCACCTACCTTTCTGTTACTGATTTGTAGTTTGATTCCACTGTGATCTGAGAACATATTTTGCATGATTTCTGTTCTTTTAACTTTGTTGAGATGTGTTTTATGGCCCAGAATGTGGTCTATTTTGTCATAGGAGCTTGGGAGTGTGTATTTTGTTGTCGTTGGATTAAGGATTCTATAAATGTCAATTAGGTGCACTCCGTCAATAGTGCTGTTCAGTTCAACTATGTCCTTACTAGTTTTCTGCTTGCTGGATTTGTTCATTATTGACAGACAGGTGCTGAAGTCTCAGCTATCACAGTGGACCTATGTATAGATGTGTATTTTTTGCAGTTCTATCAATTTTTGTCTCATGTTTTTTGGTGCTCTGTTGTTAGGTACATACACATTAAGGATTGATGTCTTCTTAGAGAATTGGCCCCTTTATCATTATGTAATGCGTTTCTTCATCCCTGATTGTTTTTCTTGTTCTGAAGTCTGCTTTGTCTGCAAGCTCACATGGAACACTCAACTAGATAGAACACATTCTGGGCCATAAAACACACCTCAACAATGTTAAAAGAACAGCAATCATGGAAAGTATGCACTCCTACCACAGTGGAATTAAACTAGAAATCAGTAACAGAAATATGAGAGTACTTTTAAAAGTTCACAACAAGATTTGTAAATAGCTACTCCAGTTTTCTTTTGTGTTTTCATATTTTGGGTGCCAAAGTGTTTGGTGAAAACTTGCAAAGTGGGTAAGAGCTCAAACATTTGAATCAGGCAAGCCAGGCTTGTCAAGCTGGGTGACTTTGGATAAATTCAATCACTCTGTGCCAAAATTTTCTTATCTACACAATGGAGAACTATCTCTGTATTGTTGAGAAGATTAAATGGGAAAAAGCACTTGGCTAATTTTCTGGCAGATACTGTTTAATTAATATGTTATACTATTATTCTATTGAACATATCAATATATTCTATTATTAATATAAGCTATTGGTTATTATTATATTATGGGACTTCAGATTTCTAAGTGCAAGTACTTTTGTATGAAAGCTAAATGGGCACTCTGAGAAGATAAACTTAGAAAATAATTGCAAAGTCTCGGGCTGGAGTGGATGTCTTGTAGGCAGTACCCTTAAAAGATGGAGACTTCAGTGTGCCCTGCAGCTTCCAGTTAGGACATTTCCTTTCATCCCTCCAGTTTCCCTTGGCCAGGGGAATGTGGGGTTACCTCCTGGGTGCTAAGCTTTGCTCACTGTTTCTATTAAGGTGAAATTACAGAGGGGCTTCCGTCCCCCACCACCAATTCACAGACACACTGGCTGGGGCCCCTTTCTTTTGGGGAAACATGGTCACACAAGGTTTCCTGTTGAGAAGTAGATCATCTTTCATTACACAAATTCTGAGTAGCAATAGAAATAATTAATCTGAGAAGCAATAGAAATAACAAATCACATGGGAAAATGTTTATTGTACATAAAGATTTTGAAAAGATAGTTATAAAACTATGTATGTATGGTATAATTAATTTTGTTTAAAAATTTTTGAGAGCATATAAGCATAAAGCAAAACCTAGAAGGATGTGAACCACAATGTTAACAGTGGCTGCCTCTGGAGGATGGGATTATAAGTGATTTTAATGTCTCTGTTACTGCTTTTCTCTATCTCTCATTTTCTGCAATGTTAAGAAAAACATGTCATTTTAAAAAATTAATAGAACAAACAAATGAATACAGCATATGAATTACAGCACTCCTTAATTATGCATACCCTATTCCATGACCTTGGCATTTTCCTTGCAGGAAAATGGACAGTTGTCCCTTGCTGACTGACTTTTGTGGTTTGTGTCTGGGCCTATTCTGCCATTGACTACCACCATAAGCATGCCTGTGTGGAGTCAGGGAAATAGAAAGTAGCCAACTCCCTGGACAAACATTTGCCCAGTAAGACTCCCCCAAGTTCCCTTTGCCTTTGTGTTGCCTGATTCCCCACCCAACAAATTGGGTACCTGTCCCCAGGTCTGGAGTCAGACAGAGTACATATCCCAGCTCCATCATGCACTAGCTCTGTGGCCTTGAGCAAGTAGCTTAACCTCTCTGATCCTCAGTGTCCTTTTAAAATGAGGACTGTGATGATGATCCAGCATGGTCCCATAAGTAAAGCACACAGCACATCCCGACACCCCATGAGCACTAGTAAATATTAGGGGTCGTGTCACTTTTGTTTCCGTGGCTATGACTGTCCTCCTTTTCCATTTCAGTCCGCCGACATCGACAACCACCATGCACTCATTGAATACAACGAGGCCGAGTGCAGCTTTGTTCTCCAGGACTTCAATTCCCGCAACGGCACATTTGTCAATGAGTGCCACATTCAGAATGTGGCTGTGAAACTTATACCTGGAGACATCTTGAGGTTTGGGTCTGCAGGGCTGACCTACGAATTGGTCATAGAAAACCCACCCCAGGTGAGTCTGGGCCACTGCAGGGGAAGGGGACAAGAGATGCCAGACAGCCCAGGGCTCAGATACAGCCTGAGCTCACTTGTGCAGAGCAGTGTCACTCAGTGATTTCATGCTGCCACCACTCAACCCTGTGAGTTTCAGGCTCATCCAGGCAGGTCTTGGGGAGGAGAAAGTCTTAGCACCCTCTTCAGGAACTTCATGGAGTTACATACGAAAGTTGCACATGACCAACACAGAGCCAGCCAGCATTTTCCTGAACACGTGCAGCTTTGTGAGAGGAGGAGGAAAGCAGATGTGTCCTTCTGAAAATGCAGAGACGGATGTTCCTTTGTAGTCACACCAGCGCTCTGCTGCTTCCCAGCTCTGTGACCTGGGCCAGGGTTCTTTGTATGTCTGGGCATCTGTCTTCTCAATGGTGTGTGGCATCAAGAGAATATCTGTAAAGCATGGAACATGGTGTCCACGTAGGCTGAACACATGGCAGCTGTTATTACGCCTCAGGTTGGAGATATGCCTGGGAACATGGCCAAAATGATGGCTTGAGTGGAAGCAAAATATAACACAAAACTTACCCATAAAATCTCAGTCACAAGGAACATAGGTTTCACCCAGGGATATGCCTGGGAACATGGCCAAAATGATGGCTTGAGTGGAAGCAAAATATAACACAAAACTTACCCATAAAATCTCAGTCACAAGGAACATAGGTTTCACCCAGGTGGCAGTGGAGGGGAGTGTTAGTGACAGGACACGCTTACTCTGTGTGCTCCCAGCAAGCCTTTGGAACTTAGAACTTGGGCTTTCTCATCTATAGAAGCAATGACAGCAATGATCTCTCAGGCTTATCTTCAGGGTTGAAAGAGACAATTATAATCATTATAACTCTTAGCAGGTCGCCTCATTCATGGTGAGCGACCAAAGTAAAATCTATCATCTGTGTGCCAGAGAGACGGTGTGTTTGCCTCACTCCCCACCACCAAGAGCGCTGCAGGGACCGAGACCTCCAAGGCCTAAAATCTTTTCTGGGATTAGGCTGAGTATAATAAAATGTAGAGAATCTAGCCAGAATCCTGGGGTTTGGGCCCTCAGGCAGCCCTAAAAATGCCCTCCAAGTGGAGCAACGGCATCCCCAGGCCGTGTGGACCATGTCCATATTGGGCTCTGAAAATCTGGGGCAATTCCCTCCTACCATCTTGTTCTCCTTGGATCAGCATTAACGCATGTTTGCTCACAGAATGTTCTGGGGTTGCTGGCAGCAGTGAGGAGGGGCTCCTGGTCTAGAAGGTGTTGACCTGATCGGTGATTCTCCAGACGGGTTCTCAAGACCCTCTTTGTCAGAACCACATGGGAGCAGAGCAACAGTGCAGCTCGCCGGGCCTCACCCTGGCCCCAGGACTCGTGCTTAGGGTTGCCAGAGAAAATACAGGACACCCAGTTAAATCTGAATTTCAGATAAGCAACAAATCATTTTAGTATAAGTATGTCCTAAATATTGCATGGGACATACTTATGCTAAAATAATTATTCAGTTTTTATCTCAAATTCATTTTTAACTGGTTGCCCCATACTTTATTAATATAGGGTTTTTTCACTTATTTGTATATGCTAAATCTGGCAACCCTACAATTACTCCCTGGGAGCAGAGGCTGGGAACCTGCATTTTCACAAGCTCCCAGGTGATTCTGATGCCTCTCCCCCTGCCCCCCACCTCCCCAACGACAGGGAAACCCAAATTTAGGATCATTTGTATCTAGCATTTACAGACTTTTTTTAGAGAGCAAAGAAAATGGAATTTCAAACCCTAACCCTGAAAATCCACGTTTGTGGAGTTTGAGCCAGTGTTCTCCTAACATGTGTGATTAAAAGTATTCTTCAGGAATGTTCAGTAAAATTACAGGTTCTCAGTCCCCCTTCCTGGGAAATTGTGATTTTGTGGTTTGCCAGTGGGGGAGGAGGGGACACACAATTGATATCTGTATTTTTCATTTATTTCATACAAAAATATTTATTGAAGTATTATCTGTAGTAGCATAAAATTTGAAACCTAAATGCCCATCAAAAGAGGCATTGTTTGATAAAATCTAAGGGGTTCATTCCTATATGGAATACTGTACTGTTTTTTAAAACACAGCTTTATTGAGGTATAATTCACATACAATAAACTGCACACGTTTAAAATATATAATTTGTTAGGTTTTGACCCATGAATACACCTGTGAAACATTCACCACAACCAAGACAGTGAACGTACCCATCACCCCACAAGTTCCCTCATAAACACCACATTTGTTTGCTTGATTTTAACAGCTTTATTGAAGTATAATTTATATAACATAAAATTCATCCAATTTAAGTGTACAGTTCAATAGATTTTAGTATCGTCAACCTAAATTGCAAACAGAGAGGGGCTCTCTAAAAGAATAACAAGTTGAATTGGGAATAGAAAGTTGCAGTGGGAATATGCAGGCCACAGTGAACTATATGCATGTTCCAGTGGGAATATGCAGGCCACAGTAAACTATGTGCATGTTCAGGGAGGTTGAAGGAAGACAAAGGCTCGTAGAAGAAACATGATGGAGATTACGTAATTGTTTTGGGATAATTATCCTTGGCTACAACGATCAATAACAAGGGTGACGCCAGTCTGAGTTTGGGCAGACAGTGGCTGAGCAGATGTCCTTGCAGAAGTATTTTTTACAAAAGTTGCGATGGCCTCTGTGCAAGCTTGTGGCTTTGCAGAGTCCTTCATGATAGTTCTTGCTATCAGGCATACATGCATGAGAACTACCTCCTTCATGGCCTTTCCCTGGATCTATTTGTCAGGGTTTTTAACACAAGTGACTTCATGATGACTGTGACAACTTTCACAGTGTGTTTACAGAGTTGTCCAGCTGTCACCACAATCTACTTTCAGAACATTTCCATCAGCCCACCCCAAAGAGAATCCTCTGAGGTACTTCATGTTTTTGTTTGGTTTTTTGTTTTTAGTTTTTAATTTTTTAAATTGTGGTAAGATACATGTAACATAAAATTATCTTACCATTTTTAAGTGCACAGTTCAGGGACATTAAGCACATTCACACTGTTGTGCACCATTGCCACCGTCCATCCACAGAACCCTTTTCATGTTACAAAACTGCAGCTCCGTCCCCATTAAACACTAACTCCCCCTCTCCCCACCCCCGGCCCCTGGCACCCACCGTTCTTCTGTCTCTTTGCAATTTGACTATTCAGGGTACCTGGTGTAAGTGAAACAATGCAATATTTGTCCTTTGTACCTGGTTTATCTCACTTAGCATAAAGTCTTCAAGCTTCATTCACGGTGTAGCATGTGTCAGAATTTCCTTTCTTTTTAAGACTCAATAATAATCCATCGTGCATTTATACCACATTTTGTGTATCCACTCATCTGGTGATGGACACTTGGGTTGCTTCCACCTTTTGGTTATTGTAGATAATGCAGCCATGATCATGGGTGTACAAACGTGAGGGGAGCACTTTGTTTTAGGCAGACAACTGTGGCAAACAGCGGTAAAGACCTCTAACCTTGACTAGAGTAATAGCAAGAGGATACTGTAAAAACAGAGGACACTGTGCTAAGCAATTTACCTGCTTTCCCTTATCTAATGCTTATAACAACCTATATGACGTGGGTTCTCTGGTGATCTCCATTTTACAAACGGAACCTGAAACTCAGAGAGGTTAAGTAATTTGCACAGCCTCACACAGCTGGTCAGTATGAATTAAACTCTATCCCAACTTGCAGATAACAGAAGCGAGTAAAGTAGAGCAGCAGCATCGACTGGTTTTCAAATACAGCAAAGCACACTTTTACAGTCACTTGGCTGTACATGATTTTTTTAAATTCTTTTTTCTACATGCAGTTGCATCTTGCTTCACTGGCCAAGGGACTGTTGGCAGCCATACAGATGTTCCCTTGGCCCATGCCCAGGGCATTTTACAGCAGCCTGAGCCTTTCCAGGGAGCAGCCCAAGCCCCTGTCCCTTCCAGGCTTCCCTCAGGAGACCCCCACCTCCAGTCCCACTCCCATCCCCACAAGAGTGCTCTCAGCTCCTTCTCAGTGCATTGCTAGGTCAAGAGACTTCCATGCAGGCATCCTCTAAGCTCTCTTTAATAAGGGGTCCTTTGCAGGCCAAGAGTGAGGGCAGCCATGTGGACTGAGTCACTCCTGTGAATTCACTTTCCATTTGCCTGGTGACCCCAACCTGTGGGCTATTTAAAAAAAATTTTTTTTAAAGGAAGGTATTGAAGAGTATCTCTTCTCAAATCCCATCTCATTTGGGGGCCAGTTTTTCTAAGAAATTTGTGGCCATCTTGATTCCTGGATGCTCTTGTTTCTGATTGATTTTTTTCAGTTCCTGGAGAGGACACTGTGTTTTCCCCTGGGGGAGAGTTTGCAAGGACCATTTCCTTTGGGGGAGGATGGTCCTAATATCCTAAGAGTTAGTTGTTCTTTTCCCAATAGAGTTCCCAAATGAAGACATTGATTGCAGCTTTGTAGTGGCCATAACCAATAGAGAGTTATTAGGGAGTAGGGGGTGGGGGAGAAGTTAAGGACCCAAATGTGTTTGCAGACATCACAGTGGTTAGAGCAGGTGTCCTGAAGTTCAAGTCAGGCTGTCCAGCACAGTCCCAGCCCTGCCCTTTACAGGCTATGCACAAGTTGCTTTACCCCTCAAAGCCTCTGTTTCCATTTCTGAAAAATTGGGATCATAATAGTTCCTACCTTGCGGGGTTACTGTGCTTTTAAATGGGGCATTGCGTGTAAATTATTTAGCCCAGCCTCTGGCACCTACAATAGGCACATGATCACTCCCAGCTCAGAATCAAGCAGAAGAGCATGGTAGCAGCCACCATGCTCCTTTGGGAATGTTCCCATGGCCAGAAACCTCCTCAGACCTCCCCAGTAAGTTTCCCATGAAGTGATATTCAAGATGGAAAAATATAAAGAAAAATTCCTGGTCCACAAAGTACATTGGCCC